AGTTGTCCTTCTAAGATAATTTCCTTGTTCTTTTCGTTGAAGAAATACAAGATAGGAGATGCCCAGGACTGAAGGTTTATGAACATAGAGTCCGTTACGGGAAGCATTTTGATGCTCACCCTAATAAGTGAAATGTACTTCTTACCAGCATTAAACCTTTATATTATTTAGAAGCAGCGGAAAAAGCCAAAGCCATACCAAACTTAATGACCAGTGAGCAATTGAAATACAAAGTGTCAGTTTTACTGCATTCATTATAGGGTGAAAAACTTTTCTTCTTCCACCAGTCAACTAAAAACAGTATCCATGTTTTTAAACTATTTCTGGAGTGAATGAAGCCTCTTGCCCCATTTCCAAGACACAGTTCTCACAGTTGACAACCAGGGCAGTTCCCCGTGGATCCTGGCTGAAGGTGTGGCTGTTATTGCCAGCATCACCATTAAAAGTTGTGTGGGGGCAGAACTCAGGCTCTGCTCCTCAGACCCAGGACAAACATTTCCCTTTGTACTACCACATGCCATACCCTTGGCACATCTCCCATCAGCTGCTTCTGTTTCCCAACAACTCCACCTCCCCAAAATGACAGACCTAGTTCATGAGGTCTTAAGGGAAGGTACCAAGAAGGTATCAAGGCTTAATGTTTTAGTGACTTTGTTTAATGATGTTGAATTGGTAATCTACAATGGCTTTCCTTCTTCAAGTCCTGAAAACTAATCCACAAGAGAGGGTCTAGAATCCCAAACAATGGCAGTATCACTGGAGTGTTTATTACTCTGAGTAAATGTCTTTGGTAAAAATACTCATCTGGTCGTGGTATGCTTGGTAGTGTCAATACCTTCTTCATTCCCCAATCAATTACTGAATCTTCTGTCAATTTTTGCTCCTAAATTACTCTCAGATCTGTCTCCTTCTCTCCCTCTCCAGCTAGGTGCAAGTCACCAGCACTCCCCATCTGGACTAAAGCACTGGCCTCTTAACTTGTGTCCCTGCACCCTCTCTAGGCCCCCTACACAGCACTCACACTCAGCAGCCTGAGGGATCTTTTCAGAGTGCAAAGCTGAGGTTATCTCCCTGCTTAAAACTGACCAATGGCTTTCCATTACTCTTACCTGGAGGACCAAGATCCTTTCTGTGGTTCATGAGGCCCGGCGTGATCTGGGCCCTGCCCCAACTCTGACTTCATTGTTACTATTTTGTCCCCTGCCTCCCTTCCCCGACCCCGCAAACCTGCCTTACTGGACTTTTTTAATTGAACAGGACAAGCTTCTTTCTTCAGAGCCTTCCCTCGAATTCCTCCTATTCTTGCTCCTCATCTGTAACACTTATATGGTACTCACTGTGTGCCAGCTATTCTCTGAGCACTTGCATGTATTCAATTCTGACAACTCTTATCCCCATTTTATAGATGAGGAAACTGAGGCACAGAGTGGTTAAGTAACTTGCCCAAGGTCCCGCACCTGGTAAGTGGTGGAGTCAGGATTCTAACTAGGCATGCGCTTAACCCCTGGATACACTGCCTCCTTCGTGTCATCTGACTGCTCATTTTCTCATTCTTTGGGTCTCAGTTTGAAACCTGACTTCCTCTGTGAAGCCCTCCCTAACCAAATTAGGTCTCCCTGTTCCATGCCCTCACAGCATCCTCAATTTCTCCACAGCACTGACAACAGTTGCACTGTTGGTGCAGATATTTAATGTCCGTCTCTCCAGATAGACCATAAGCTCCAAGGAGGCCAGGACTGTGTGTTTCATTCCCTGCTGTCCCCCCAGCACCTAGTACAGTGGCGTAGGAATTAAAGAATATATACCTGTGTTGTGAATAACCGGAGCCCTTGTACTCACATGAACACTTAGGTCTCTCAGCAGCCTGGCTGCCTCCGCTGGAGGGAAATGCCTCGCTCACCACCCTGCTTTGCAGGGGCTGGCAAAGCAAGCACCATCCAGGTTCAGAGGGCCAGCTGTCTGCAGCCAAGCGTAGTTTTCTTACTCTGGCCACAGAAACAATCGTTATCAACAGGAACCTGTGGTGAACATTGCTTTGCTTCCTTCTCTGGCAACAGCCACCTCAGAAATCCCAGCCCAAGGCTGATTGGATCTTCTCTTGTCTGACATCCAGACGTTTCCCTGTTCCAGACTGACTGCCAGGTACAGGAAGCCCAGGCTCTCACTGGAAAGCTGCCTCAGTCGTTCTGGCAGGTCAGCAAGCGGGCACAACGATCAGCACCAGGGCCCACCCTGCACTGCTCACGCAGCAGCCTCCCAGCACTTCTGGCGGGACCTGGAGACAGGACCCACTGATCCAATGAGAGTCGGTGCTGTGCTCCTCAGGGCTGCCTGTGTGCACCCCAGGCTGCTGCTCTGGGCCTGCTCGAGGTGGTCAGCACAGAGAGCCGCCAGGACAGAACTGATCCGTGCAGGGCTCCCAGGGCCTAGCACAGGGCTCCACTGGGGACAAGCGCCACCTGAATCTGTGGCGTGAGTGATGCGTTTCCACTCAACATGTTCCTACTAATAAGCACTGCTGTGTCTGAAAGCTGTTCCTGAAAGATGTTTTGTGGTTTATATCAGACCATGATTAATATGTTTAGAATACTGATAAAATGTGCTTATAGGAAATGAGTTAGAATGTCACCTTTTTTTTTTTTAAATTGTGCTTTAAGTGAAGGTTTACAGAGCAAATTAGTTTCTCATTAAACAATACACACACAGTTTTGTGACTTTGGTTGCCAACCCTGTGACATGTCAACACTCTTCCCTTGGTTCCCTATTTCCATTTGTCCAGCTTTCCTGTCCCCTCCTGCTTTCTCATCCTTGCCCCTGAGCTGGTGGGCCCATTTAGTCTCATATACACAGTTGAGCTATGTGTATTATTGTTTGTTTTATAGACCTGTCTAATCTTTGGCTGAAGGGTGAACCTCAGGAGTGACTTAAGTACTGAGTTAAAATGGTGTCTGGGGGCCATATTCTTGGGGTTTCTCCAGTCTCTGTCAGACAGTAAGTTTTTTTTTTTTTTTGGTGCGTTTGTATTTTGTTCTACATTTTTCTCCAGCTCTGTCCAGGACCCTCTGTTGTGATCCCTGTCAGAGCAGACGGTGGTAGCCGGGGCCATCTAGTTGTACTGGACTTAGTCTGGTGGCGGCTGTGGTGGTTGTGGTCTGTTAGTCCTTTGGACTAATCTTTCCCTTGTATCTTTGGTTTTCTATATTTCCCTTGCTCTAGATGGGGTGGGACCAGTAGGTTATCTTAGATGGCTGCTCACAAGCTTTTAAGACCCCAGATGCTACTCACCAAAGTAGGATCCTGCTAATGTTTCTTTGAAGTTGGCCTCATCAAACATCAGTAACTCTAGTGAAAGTATGACAAGTTTGAAGATAGGAAAAAAATTCAGACAAGGATTGGACTAATGTTTATTTTTTGCTACTTATAAACTACTCATAAGTAAATTAGCACTTTATATATAACTGTATACTATAACTAAATACTACAGTATTTCTAATAGTCAGGATGGGATATATATGATGTTTAATAACAGATAAACTTCAAAATCTCAGTGGCTTAGCACAGCAAAGATTTATTCAACACTCACGTCACGGTCCATCTTGAAGTATGCCAAGGGCATTGGAGATGAAGAGAGAACCGGCGGGTGGGGGTGGCGCACGGGGTGTTTTTATATCACGTCTGTTCATGTCCTATTGGCCAGAACCCAGTCATGTGGCCCCAAACTGGAAGGGGGCTGGGAAATGTAGAGAGCTGTGGACATTGGGTGGGCACCAACAGTCTCTGCCAAGTTATGACCTATCAGCATTATAACTATCTCCTGCCTACAGGGTGCTCAGCATGGGCCAAGCACTTCACCCATCTTATCAGTCCTCATAAACATCCAGTGAGTGGTGTCATTAGCCCCATCTCACACATGGACTGATGCTTGGCGATGGGAAGAAATTAACATGAGGTCACACATGTCAAGTGTTTGCAATTAGTGTTCTAACCAGCTCTGTGTCATTCCAAAACCCACCTGGGCTTTCCACTGCCCCAAACTCAATATAAAAGTCTTACCGCTTCATTGACATAGGTTCTTTCAGGCTCTTCGTATGCCAGTACTTTGACCTTGTAACCACGTGTACTTGACAGCAATGCCACTGATTTCTTTAAGCAGATTTGATAAGAATTCAGCCTGAGCTCTGCCCTCCACTGCCCCCGCCTTTACCGCCCTGAGAGTGATGCCAAACTCTACCTGCTGCCCTCTACTGTAGAAACTCAACCTCCGAACATTAAAGTGGGATTTTAAAACACTTCACTAGTGGAAGAAGAAATGTACTTCGAATCTGAATTCAGCCACAGATTCATAGGAACATCTCGTTTCTGACAGAGATTCTTTTTCTCCCTAAAAACCTTCCGTAGGCAAATGACTGGGCTGAAGAACTACCTACCAAACCCTCCAAGACAGTCTGTTCTGTCTGGGAGGCTGCACTTGGCTTCCCCTTATCTGGGTCCCTCAGGCTCCCTGGGGCACCCCACCAGACTGTCCGGCGGTAAGAGACCTATAGCTGTCGTGTAGACCCCCCTTCAGTCACCTGATCACCCCCAGAACTCCCTGCTCGTTCCCAGACCTGCTGTGTCAGCTGCAGCCCAAAAACTCACGGCCACATGCACAACCTGGCTGGCCAAACACTAGGTGTCTTTGTAGCTTTTGCTGGTTACCCTATCAACAATCACTTGGGGAAAAAAAAATGGCCTTCAGGCATCCCCCACTCGAAATGCACGTGCAGGATGTAGGGGTTGGGTTTTAAAGGCTTGGCTATTCACCATTTGTTTAAAAAAAAAAAAAAAATCTCATTACAAAAGGAATAAGCTGTGGATTCAATTAATAGAGACCCTGCGGCCAGTGGTTCTCATCCTTGGCTGGACGCTAGAATCACCTAGCGAGCTTGTAAAAATCCTGTTGCCCAGGCCACTCCCCAGACCGATCAGTCTCCTGGGCCTGGGCATCAGGATTTTTTAAAGCTCCCCAGGAGATTCCCAGGTGTAGCCAATTGGAGAACCACTGCTGTAGACTGGTATTTTGCCAGAATCAGCAGGGGTGTAGAGAAGATAGGGTAAAAACAAGAGCTTCAGGAATTGTTAGCCTGACTCTAGCGCTAAACTCCCTAAGGAATTCAAATTAGTTACAGTCGCCTTTTTTCCCTTTGCAATACACAGCCAATGTAAATGTTATTTCATTACTGAGAAATGTACCCCAAACTAAGTGATTTAAGGTCCTCCACGTGGAGGATGCAGCCTGAGATTGTCTGTTTTTCAAGGTCGTGACAGCAGAGCATTATTTTGTCCCAGTCTGATGCTGACTGGCATTTAAAAAAAAAGCAAACCCAAAAAACTGTGATCCTCTAAATCATGCATCAAGAGATATTTTTATTAAAACAAAATGTTGCATAGATACTAGTAACTGAGTATACTTGTGGGAATAAGGAGCCGAGGTGACGCAGTGGTTAAGGTTGGGGGTTCGAACCGACCAGCGGCTCCTCGAGAGAAAGATGTGGCAGTCTGCTTCCTTAAAGATTTACAGCCTTGGAAACTCTATGGGGCAGTTCTACTCTGTCCTGTAGGGTCGCCAGGAATCGAAATCAACTCAGTGGCACACAACAACGTAATTGTCGGAAATGTCATTTAAAAATAGTTTCCTTTGAACAGAGCCTCCAGCATTTTTAGGGGAGCTCTAGAGGAAGCAACTGCACAATGTGGTTGTATGAAGGTTTTCAATTTTGTTCTCTACAAATATATTACAAGTGGGTTTTAGTTAATAAAATTGTAAACAGTGAAAATGCCTCATTAAATAATTTCGTGAAAAGCTTGGACACATGCTTAGAAACTGGTGTGCGGTTTTTGTTTGTCTTAGAAAGGTATTTTTCTCCATCGCTGGGCTGGCCTTCCAGGTGATGCGAGGTAGTGGTACCACTTACTTACCTGGTGGCATCTCTATTCCACTTTCCATCTTATTTCTACAAACAACACAAAAGCACAGCATGCTCAGTATTGTTTTCCAGAGGGGCTTCGTTTGCTTATCCAAAAATCTTCATAATGCCAGGAGTAGGAAATTTATATAAAACATGACTGATCAATAAGCAAGGGGAGACTAGAATGATCCACGTGGTAATGGATTAGAGTTGGAGATGTATGAACTCATGTTCAGCTTAATATATAGACTGATGCATGCAGAAATATTTATGTTGCTGTTGCTGCTGTTGAGTCGATTTTGACTTATGGGGACCCATGTTTGCAGAGCAGAACTGCTCCATAGGTTTTTCAAGGCTGTGACCTTTCAGAAGCAGATTTCCAGGCCTGACTTCTGAAGCACATCTGGATGGGACTGAACCACCAACCTTTTGGTTAGTAGTCTAGTGCTTAACCATCTGCACTACTCAGGGACCTCCTAGAAATATTTATAGATACGTGTATGTACATGGTTAGTAGATACACATGGATTTCCTTCTATGTCAGCTGAAAGAGCCTACAAGCAATAACACTCCAGTAGCAATGAGCACATCTAGCACCCAGATCTTGGTTTCTAATACCAATCTCCAATAAAAGGGGGCCAGGGCTCCTTGGAGAAATGGCTGATTCTAGGACTAGCACAGAAATTATACAAAATAAGCCTGGAGCATCTAGTAGGGTCAGGAAGTAAGGAAGAAAACAAAAACCACACCGTACACTGATGGGGATTTCTCAAAGGGGCATAGGAGCCAACTGAAAGAGCTCCCAATGGCCAAAGGTGGGACAATTTGAGCAACAAAATAAAGTAGTATTGGCTTCTAACCCAAAGTATAAGATAAATACCCATGAGTTCATACTGATGTAAAAAATGATTGCATAAATAAATGGGAAAGGAGGCAAATCTCCCATGCAGAAGAATTCCAAGTAATTTATGTAGATAATCTGTACTCAAGGAGGGAGAGCATAACTCTCCATTCCTTAAGTTTGGACTGTGCACAGCAACTTCCTTCCCAAGAGTAAACTCTGGAAAGAGGGGGAAAGAGTAACTTTATAGTGGAGAAACCTGACAAACACTCTTAGCCAGGTGATCAAAGTCAACATCAACAGTGATAAATCACATTGAGAGTATATGCCCTTGATACGATGTGATGAGAATGGCACTTTATCTCTGTGGTCTTCCTCCCAAGAACCCATATCCCCACTCTGATCATGAGAAAAATATCAGGCAAATTACAGTAGAGGAATGCTCTACCAAATACTGAACAGTACACCTCAAGGTCATCAAAAAACAAGGAAACTATCACAGTTAAGAGAAGCCTTGAAAGACAGGTCTGACTTCCAAAAGATCACAACCTTGAAAACCCTATGGAGTGGTTCTGCTCCACACATATGGGTCTTCACAAGTTGGAATCAACTCAACAGCAACAATAACAGACATGACAACTGTGGTAGGCTGAATCATGGCCCTTGCCACCACAACATGGCAAAAGGGACTTTGCAGATGTGATTAAGTATTTTGAGATGGAGCAATAATCCTGGTGGGTCCATTGTAATCAGAGGGTCCTTACAAGGACACAGGAGGGCCAAAGTCAGAAGATATGAGAGTGGAAGCAGAGGTCAGAGAAGAGAGAAGATGCTATGCCGCTGACTTTAAAAATGGAGGAAGTGGCCACAAGTCAAGGAATGCAGGCAGCCTTGAGGAAACTGATCCTCCCCTAGAACCTCCAGAAGGAACCCAGGCCTGCGGATCCATTTTAGACTTCTGATCTCCAGAACTGTAAGGGAATGAATTTGTGTTGTTTTAAGCCACTAAGTTTGTAATAATTTGTTATAGCAGCAATAAGAAATTCATATAACAACTAAATGTAATGTGTTTCCCTGGATGGGATCCTGTAACAGAAAAGAACACTAGGTAAAAACCAAGGAAATATGAATAAATTATGGACTTTAATTAATAATTATGTATCAATATTGGTTCATGAATTACAACAAATGTACCACACTAATGTAAGATGTTAGTAATAGGGGCAAGGGTGAGAGAATGCTGGCTTCTCAATTTTTCTGTGAATGTAAAACTGTGCTAAAACAGTCTATTTAAATTTTTTTTTAAAGAAGTGAATGGGGGCTGTGGAGTCGAAACCTTTGAACATCAGGCCAGGAATTTTCTGTGTGACACAATAAATAATACACAAAATGCACTAATCATAGATGATTTATTGCTTTAAGTAACTAAACAAGAAAGAGACAGGCTATTGTTTTTGGTCAAGACAATCTGCAGTATCTCTCCAAGTTCACCAGTTGCATCTACTTAAAGCCTTAAAATACTTTCTGGACAATATAAACACGTGATAGACACAGCATACATGGTATAATAAACTTGGCCAATGATACACTGATTAAAATAGCACACAACAAGGGCAACCACCCAATCGGGATGCCCTGAAATGACAGGAAGTAACGCGTGTTCATAGGATGTGCTGGATACAAAACCTTTAAAAATTTTTGGCATTAATACTAACACAGAATACTTTCTTGGGCATTCTGCAAGAGCAGGTATGCAAGCAGAACTACCTCTTCACTTCCAGATTACCAGTATCTATGGGAATACTTTAAGCTGGGAGGCAGGGCACCTCCCCTCTCAGTGTCCTTTTCTTTGCCAAAGCAGCAGGGTCTGAGGGTTTAGGTGGAGAAGGGTGGCTGACAGGGCTCTCCAGGTGTTAAAAGTCACCAAGTAGCTGCCGAAACCAGCAGGGACCCGACACTGCCTCTCCAGGGAACGGGAGTGGACAACAGACTCGGTGTGTAGCCAGGGAGGTCCAAGGATTTGACCTGAATGTTCCCTGGAGGCCCTGCAGGGCGGACACAGGCACTGGATGGTTCAGACCTTCCCGCAGGAGGAGTGGAGCCAGGGCTGGGAGGTCCAGGAGCAGTGCCTGGCCTGTGCTCTAACACTGGGGCATCACGATACACTGCGAATGGATGTGCAGGAACCAACACTGTCAGGTCCCAGCCCTTGGAGGGCCAGGTAGACTCACAAGAAGAGATCAAGCCAAGCCAAGGGGTAACACACAATGCCAGGGCAAACCCGCCCCTGAGCCGGCTCCCAGCAAGGTCCCACAGGTTGGCAGCTCATCTGGCTTCAGAGCAAACTGCTCGAGACTCAGTTGTCTTCTGGTGCGGCGGGCTCTCCAGCAACTTCCTCAGGACTGCCATCCCTTCCATGCTCCCCCGGATCACAGGGCCCAGCGCAGCCCCCCACCTGCGCCCTGCTGGCGCCGGCAGGGCCATTCTGTACGGTGCCCTCCATGCCCCCACTGCCGAGCCCGCTGTCAAGACACAGCTTGTCTCCCTTGACTTCCTGGACAGAGACGCCCATCCCCTCAGAAGCCACACCCTCCTCTTCCCCTGGGACCCCGTCCTCCTGATGCCGACCCAGCACACAGTTTCCCAGGTCTCCAGATTTAGAAAACTGGTCTTCTAAGTTCTTCTCGTTCTCTTCTGCCTGTTGTTTGTCTCTGGCACCGAGTTTACCTTTGGACTTCCTCATCTGCCTGTTGTGCATTTCTCCTCGGGAGAAACGCCACTGAAACTAGAAATCAGAGAGGGTGGGGATAAATAAACACAGCTCCGTGAATCCAGTGCGTCACCTGGCAGCCTGTTTGCATCTACACCTGAGTCTCGTCTCTAAGCAAAGACACATAATTCCCAGAATTCCTCAAGCGAGCAGTATAGGCACCAAACTGACATCACAGCCCCACACACCTCGTCTCCACCATGAGCCTGGTCAGTGCTGTTCATGGATTTATTGTAGATGTGGACTCTGGGTTCTGCAGGTGTGTGTACTGCTCTTAATCAGCCCCACAGCAAAGCCCCACCTGGGAAAGGGGGTCCTGAAACCCTATCATTTGGAGACCAGGATGGGAGAGGAGACATAGACCTGCACTTCCTAAGTGCCCACAGCTGAGCCCCTATCCGCAGGCGAGCCCCACCACCTCACCTAAGGTCACCCTCCCTTCCTAGGGCAATCCCACAGCCAATGACTGGTCCAGGCAGGGGTCAGAAAACTCTGAAAGAACACCCCAGCTCCAGAGCTACCTGGGGAGCTGGCTAAAGCCACTGTTGGGATTCCATCGCAGCCAACTTCTCCCTCTGTCCACTCCTGTTCCCTCCCTTCCTCCACAGATGTTGTTCCCAAGGCACTCCCCCTAAAAAACTGCACCCAAACCTCCACCTCAGAGGCTGCTTCCCAGGAGTCTGCCCTGCAACTGAGTGTTTCCCCAGGATGGCCCGAGTCATGCAGTCAGTAATAGAGCCAGGCTAGAACCAGGTCTTGTTCAAGTTGTGGAGGGAGACTAGCCTGATGAGAGTCACAGCTCCACCAGCCAAATGATGTTTCTCAACCTCAGTTTCTCCTGAGAATAGATAGTAACTGTAACTATCCCCTTTTAGACCAGAGGTCAGCAAACTTATGGCTTTGCGGGCCATACAGTCTTGTCACAACCACTCAGCTGAACTACTGATGGGCAAAAGCAGCCACAGACAATATATAAATGAAGGGGAATGCTGTGCTCCAATAAAACTTTATTTACAAAAATAGGTGTCAGGCTAGATTTGGCCCACAAGCTGTAGTTTACCAATCCCTGCCTTAAAGGGGTTTTTTTTTTTTTAAACTTTTAAAAATTTTTTATTGTAGTAAAATATATATAACATAAAATTAGCCATTTTAACAATTTTTAAATGTACTAATTGGGTGGCATTAATTACATTCAGCCAGCATCATCTTTCCAAAATTTTACTTCATCCAAACAGAAATTCTGTATCAATTAAACAACAATTTTCCATTCCCTCCTCCCGCCAGCCCCCAGTAACCTCTAATCTACTTTCTGTCTCTATGTATTTGCCTATTCTAGGTACTTCATGTAAGTGGGATCATAACAATATTTGTCTTTTTGTGTCTGGCTTCTTTCACTTGGCATAATGTTTTCAAGGTTCATCCATGTTGTATGTATCAGTACTTCATTCCATTTTATGGCTAAATAATATTCCACTGTATGGATATGCCACATTTTGTTTATCCATTCATCTGTTGATGGACACTTGGGTTGTTTCTACCTTTTGGCTACTGTGAAAAACGGTGCTGTGAACATTCTCATACAAGTATCAGTTTGAGTCCCTGATCTCAGTTCTTTGGGGTATATACCCAGGAGTGGAATTGCTGGGTCATATGATAACTCTGTTTAACTTTCTGAGGAACCACTAAACTGTTTCCACAGTGGCTGCGCCATTTTACATTCTCTGGCAACGCAGGAGGCCTCCAATTTCTCCACATCCTTGCCAACACGTGTTATTTTCCATTTTTTTAAATTAAATCCATCCTAGTAGGTGTGAAGTGGTATCTCATTGTGGTTTTGATTTGCATTTTCCTACTAATGGGAAACCCGGGTGGCTAGTGGTTAAGAGCTATGGCTGCTAACAAAAAGGTCAGCAATTCAAATCCACCAGGCGCTCCTTGGAAACTCTATGGGGCAGTTCTACTCTGTCCTATAGGGTCACTATCAGTCAGAATCAACTTGATGGCAACGGGTAATGACTAATGATACCGAGCATCTTTTCATATGTTCATTGCTCATTTCGTCTTTCAGGAAATGTCTATTCAAATCCTTTGCCCATTTTTAAGTTGGTTTGTCTTTTTGTTGTTGAGTTATAGGAATTATATAGTCTGGATATTAAACCCTTATTAGATGTATGACTTGCAAATATTTTCTCCCATTCTGTGGGTTGTCTTTTCACTCTTTTGATAGTGTCCTTTGATGCACACAATTTTTTAATTTGAATGAAGTCCAATTTACCTATTTTTCTTTTATTGCCTGTACTTTTTGTATCATATTTAAGAATCCAGTGCCAAATCCAAGGTCATGAAGATTTGTCCCTATGTTTCTTCTAACAGTTTTATAGTTTTAGCTCTTAAATTTAGGTCTTTGATCCATTTTGAGTTAATTTTTTAGATGGCGTGAGATAAGGGCCTTCGAGAGTTTTTATGTGGATGCAATGATGTGCTAATCCATGCAATGGGCTTAGTACTGTGCCTGGCACATGATATACAAGATATGTTTGCCACTACCCTTACTGACATTAGATGTAAGTCCCATGAGGTCAGGGAAGCCATCTGTCTGATTTACTACTATATCCCCAGGGACACAGCACAGTGATCGGCACAGAGTAGACCCTCAAAAAATATCGCAGAATGGATGAATGGAAGGACAACAGAATCCAGCCAAGCTGGCACACTTGCATTTCAGAATGAAGTCCTGCAGTTTTAGAGTCGAAATAGCCTTCAGTTCCTAAGACTTCTTGCTGGGCTAGAGAGGTGAGCGCAGGAATGCAGTTGCCCCATCAGTGGGGACATGATTTCTTAAGGCTGGACCACGTCAAGACATTGGTGCGCTGTGCAATGTCAGTTCTGGTTGATCTCCAGAAAGAGAAATTAATTTACAGAAGAAAAGAGGGGGAAAAAAATTCCAAAGTCCTGCTGAGTATAAGCCTGCTCCAAGTGCCCCACAGGAAGAGTCTGGGAGCTTGTGTGCTTGGAATAAACCCAGGCAAATGAGCTTGAGGAGCAATGGAAGCGTGAAGACCGGTGTTAGAGCAAACACCTGGGAAGACACATAGAAATGGGTCGTGGAATGTGTTCTGTGGGCTAACAACCCACCAAGCATTCCAGCCCTTTTTTCTTCTACTTCCCAAACATAAGGATCCCTCCAATCTTCCTAGGGAGCCCTGGTGGTGCAGTGGTTAAAAGCTTGGCTGCTAACCAAAACATCGGCAGTTCGAATCCACCAACCGCTCCTTGGAAACCCTATGAGGAAGTTCTACTCTGTTCTATAGGGTCGCTATGAGTCAGCACATAACAACAACCATCCTCCTAAGCACAGCCCCTCTGACCTCTGTCATCCTGAGGGCTCAGTATCCCCAGGATCACTTCTACCTCAGAGGGGGCCTCTCTACTCTGTGGGGCCCTGGGTCACCCAAGCTCACAGAGATCAGATACCAGAGAACCATGTGGTATGCACCTGAGGAGGTGGCAGCCACAAAATTTTCAGGACATGCCAGGCCCTGTTGTGAAAGGCACAAAGAACAAGAGAGAAACTCACAGAGGAGAGAGAGCTGGGTAAGTGGGGGCCAGAGTCAGGATCCCCAACTGGAGGTGGTGGTGTCACAAGAAAAGCCTCAGGGCCTGGAGACTGCGTATGCGCTCTGCTGCCCGGAAGGTGCTGCTCAGCAGCCCGCCACATGCAGGGCTGTGTAAGTCTCCACCACTGTCATTTCCTTCCACCAGAGTTGCACCACACTGGTTTCACCAAACATGTACTTAAATCTTAGACATTCTGTGACTGAAAGAACAGCAACAACAACTTCTCGCTAGGCAAGAGAGGGGAGCGCACGAATGCAGTTGCACCATCAATGAGTCACAATTTCTTAAGGCTGCACCACATTGTAAAGAATCCTGAGTGCTTTGCTAGGGAAAGTCAAAAACGTGCTATGTAAATTAAAAACAAATCTGCCACCTCTGCAGACTTTTCAGTGGTGGAGATACATTTCCTCAAGTAAAAAATTCTCCTGAACACTCACAGGGTTCTGTGATTGAACATATTGTAGGGTTCTTGGACTTTAACATCCTTTAGACAAGACTAACATGGAGCCCTGGTGGCGCAGTGGTTAAGAGCTTGGTTGCTAACCAAAAGGTCAACAGTTCAAATCCACCAGCTGCTCCTTGGAAACCCTATGGGGCAGTTCTACTCTGTCCTGTAGGGTCACTATGAGTTGGAATCAACTCAACGGCAACAGGTTTGCTTTTTTTTTTTTTTTTGGTTTACACTAATTATAGTATGGTTGGTGGCTAAGACCAGGTTCAAATCCCACTCCTGGCACATGTTAGCTGTGTGACCTTGGGCAAGTTATTAATCTCTCTGAATCTCCAGTTCCTTACCTCTATAAATTGTGACTCAGCCTCCAGGAGAGCTGTGGTGTAAACATCTGGGGCCCCATTCACACTAGTTTATGCGAATAGCGCCCTCTGCAGTTGTGAATGTAAAACTATGGACAAGCCCACATATGTCAGGCCTTCCATTCTTAAGACCATTAATTTTTTAAATACAAACCTAGGTATTTATTCAGAGATTGCTCTTGCTAAGACTTTTGTGGTTCACTCTGGATGCCCAGCCATATCCAGTTTCCTATAGAAAACCACATTTTGCTGACCTAATACGACAGGACACAGGCTCTGTGGAAAGGGTCCATGGGAGGCACACCAGCCACTTCCTCAAGGAACCTGCCTGGGCTGCTGGGCAGAGAAAGATTTGGGACTGTCAGCGCTGAGCTGGGTGGGAACTACTTCAGCTGCCGTTTTTTGTCCTTGCACGTTCATCCCAGAAAAATCTGCAAAGCCCAATTCCTTCTAAGGACTGCGCTGTGTCCTGTGTCCTCAGATGAGTTTATGGGTGACGTCCCTGACTCCAGGGCCTGCCTGGGCCCCCATTCCATGACAGCAGTCATATGTGCCGCAGCCAGGGACCAGACAGGCTCTGATTC